TATATAATGTGTGTGTGTGTGTATATATATATATATATATATATATATGTACATATTATACATATGATTTTTTCCAAGAATATCTAAATTAAGAGAGCACCTCTGACAATATCTTAACTGCCTGCTTGGTGCCTTTGTTTTGAAAAATAATGACATTACAAAAATTATATTTGAAATCAATTCTTGTTTATTATGAACATAATGGATCTAGCCCTTTCTAACCCTCTCTTCAGTTAAACCAGGCTATCGACGCTTGAAAACTCACAACCGTGAGATATAAAACAAGCCTCCCATTTAGTTTCAGTAGAATTTCTGTTCTACAGCAAAATGGCCCTAATTTATAAAAGCTGACTACCCCCAACAGCTTGCTATTTGTTACTGGATTCCTGTATTGTCTTTTTCTTTCCCTTTTTGGCCAATGTGAATAGTAAAGCATATACTGGTAAACTCAGCCAGCCCTGTACTTGGTCTAATATGATAATTTTTATTCTTGACTTGTTTCATTTCCATTAAAGAAATTCAAGTCCCCAAATCCTCAATGCTGCATGCACAAAAATAAAGATTCTTGTAGATCTTTGGGTAGTATAGAAGGCTTAACTTTTTTGTGTGTGCAACCTTAATGCTGATGAGGGTCTGGATTGTTAACCCTGAAGATTCTAGCCACCGGACATGTACAGCATGGACATTAGCAATGTGAGCTTTCCCACACTGCCCAGTCAATATGTTTCCACTTTGTCCTGGAAGGAGCACTTCTGGGGCTAACAGTTCAGTCTCCACAGCCTATTCAGTTCTTGGTCTCTCTCTGCTGAGAGACTATTAACAAAGGTGCTAATTAGTGCCAATTATCTAAAAGGAACAGATCTGAGATCATCAACTAATTTCATGCAGGTTCACCACAAAACCCAAGTTTTTGTAAAGTTGGTTCTGTAGTGAGAAAAACCCTGCTTCATGTAGAGTATTAAAAAGCTTTTTTAATTCTCAGAGCTGGAGTTATTACATATAATTGTTTAAATCAGGCAATCAGTAGTCCACTCCTGCAATATCATCAGGGATTCTGCTTCTAGCACTAATTCTGAGACGATACCATGCATTTATAGTAAGCTCTTTGTCTAGAGTGGGGGCACAAATTCACTCCAATATATGTATTCTCCATCTTTAAGAATCTGCCAATTTTAATAAAAGCACATTTGAGAATTTGGGGGCTTTCCTTAAGTTTGCATCACTAAACTCATAAAGTGACCTCTAAATTTTAAAAAAATAAAATAAAAAAGGAGAATCAATCCTCTACTGCAGATAAAAATAGGCCATGTATAAAAACTACTTGACAATCTTAGATTTGAAAACTTATCCTTTCATAATCCTGATACTCATGTTCCAGTTTTGTTTAATTTGACATACCAACAAAACTTGACCTGAAGTTATCTCTGACCCAAGATTAAACAATAATGCTACAAGTTTAACCTTGCTCTTTCTTAAACCTCTTGGAAACCGAATGCCCTCTCAAATAAGAAAGCCAGAACTTTTAATACTGCTAACAACTGTTTGAGTCAATTGGTTACAGTCCTCTCAGTCTCTTTTATTATAATGCCATCTTGGCTGTCTCACCATTTAAAATGATCTTAAATTTGAAAATTTACCTTAAACAGATTGAGTGAACAGGAGAAACTATTAGCTAATACTTAGATAGTCTAGGCATTAGTACAGACCATAGTCTTGTGTGTATGTCTATATACACAAAGCTTGAAATAATAACCAGGACCTGAGATCCAGAGCAAACTTATTTCATCAAATGACCAAGTTAAAACATCACAGTCTGGCTTTAAAGGGCCAATACACAAACTAAGCATGATTCTTTTTGACACACAATGGAAATCCTAATGTTGAGTACAGAGTTCACTGTTTTTAACATGATACATCTACTGTTTCTTGCCATGTATTTCTGGGAAAAATAGCTATCCCCTCAGTGCATACTCAAGGGCCCGATCCTGCAAATGTTTGACACATGTGAGTAACTTTACTCAATAAGTAAAGTATTTGCTGGATCTGGCCCTTTACATTAAAACCATCCACTGAATAAATTATGTACATTTATGGTTAGGATGGGCAGGTTCATAGTCAATATTTTCCCCAAACACAGTTCTCACCCTAAAAGTGGGATTCAGTAGGGAATATTTAGTCACATTTGTAGTTCTCATATTTGAAGTTGTCTTACAAAGATGAATTTTAAGTAGAGAGGGAGGCCTCAGGGTTTGAAAAAGAATTTAGCAAACCAGTGTTCAACATAAAAGTAATGCAGATAACCTACTTATTTGAGTAGAGCTGAGACACTCAGAGGAATTCCATGTTCATCAATGAATTTATACATGGAGTTGGTGATATAGTTGTCTTGAATAAAAACAGGTAGGGCTTTAAGCATTACTCTTGTTTACTATGTAACAGTCTTCTAAACAAAAGCTGTTCACTATTGTACCTTTGTGTACTTTGAGTTCATTTCCCATCCAATATCCAGATGTTTCACTCAGTTGGTGATTTCTTTTAGTGTATTCAAAATATTGAACACACAGACACACACACACCTACTGCAAGAAGCAACAACTGACAAATAATGGAGCTAATTTCAAGGAAATGGTTTCTGAGGTATGGAGAAGCTTTTATCAATCTAGAAGGCGGAGAGATTACAGATGACACACCAAAAAGCCTCCTGGGCTAGTTTAATAATTTTCTCTCCATACTAAGAATCTGTATATGGAGCTCCCTTCGTTTGGCATGTCACTCAGCCATATATTTGAATTGTTTATAATGCATATGTATCAATTTGGCAACCATTGCTTCTTCATCGCACCATACCTACTTTTATATATATGTGGTCCACAAAGTACTTCAGGCCAAGAGGATGGGGGTGATTCTGTCCCTAAGGCAATCAAAAGAGGTCAGCACAAACTCTTGAAATCATACAAAAGAACCCCCTCTCCCCCAAGTCTTCACAAATGAACATTATTACTCCTTGAAAACGATGGGGGGCATGAGAAAGAAGTCTTTTCTTCTTCTTCTTCTTCTTCTTCTTCACGCTCAGGATAGTTGTGATGAAAATAATCTCTTGGGAGGAGAAGTGGAGGCAAGTGTTTGAACATTCACAGTTTAATGCAAAGCACAGACGAATTAAATTCTGAAGTTGCTTTCAGGCAGTTTCGCGCATAGAAAAAAAAGAAATGTTTAGAAAATAAAAAGTTTACTTTGTCTTTCTGGTTGTGGGCAAAACCAGTCTCTATCCCACCTTGACAAGTGAAAATGGGATCCAAAATTAATCTGATTTGTGGCAGTAAAGGTCCTTAAGTGCTTTCAGCTCCTCAATCAGTGTCTTGTTTTGGTTTTCAAGCACAGCCACTCGGTTTTCTAGACATTTCACATATTCCTTCTTCTTCCTGCGACACTCACGTGCTGCCTCCCTGTAAAGCAAAAGAGGCCGTTCAAACCCAGAACATTTGAGACCATGAGCTGCTTTCGAGCTTGATTGTTCAGGTCAAACTGCCAAAACAGTATCAGTGTTTTCAGAACCTGGCTGTAGAATTAGAGGTATTTGTAATTCAGGAAGAAATTAAGTATATAATGATTTACATTTAAAATCATGAGCATATCAAAATCACAAGGATCACTCCAATATATAAGTAGCAGCAAATAAACACTAACAAAATTCTGCCCGGTTTAGAACGTGACTCTGAATGGTATCGTAACTATGGTGGCCTTTGTGTTGCGTACATCACTTTGCTATCATTTCACTGGGTTCTATAAGAAGGATTAAGACGAGTAAAAAACGTGCATAAGAGTAATGTTCATCTTACTAGTAAACCCATCCATTTGCTATGGCACAATTGAATAATGACAGCAGTGATAAAAAAATGTTTTGTTTACCCAATGCAACAGAAGCTATACTTAAGGCACTCATGTATTTGTCCTCTACCTGTACCAAACCTTGTTAACAATGCCCTCATTTTACTGATACTGTTCATATCACTACACTTAATATTACAGCATTTCAGTCTTAGCAACCACATGGACACAATACACAATTATCTTACCAATGTCTATTGGATCAATAATGCAAGGACCAAAAAGTGTTGAAGTAAGCTTCAACACAGTAAGCCACAGGGCTGCTTTGTAAAAACTGGTGCTGAAGCCCCTTAACTCAGATATCAGTCCTCTAAGCGCAGTGCTGGTATCAGAATGCTAACAGCATCAATGAAAAATACCTCTACAGTGCCCAACTAAGTGCTAAGCATCCTTGAAGCAATAACACAGAGGCAAAAACTTTACTAGTTCCTAAATTATCAGCACCAAAGTGCAGAGGAAAAACAGGTGTCAAAATGCCACAATACTGCACTGAAGCAACCAGAGGCAAGAACTTCAAACATGAATAAATGTGTACCACACCTGACTGGAAGGCTGGATAAAAGATCTGTAAAGGATACCTAGCTAGGGGGCACTGGGATCTGGTAAAAAGCTGTAGCAACCAGGACATTTGGAAGGCAATATTTACAGGCAACAAGGAGTGGGTGTGACAGCCAGTCTCTGCCCTGGATGTGCTCCCTCTTTGAAGGGGAATTCTGGAGTCACCCACCACGTGGGGGGTCTCCGACAGCATGGCTGTGATGATCTGGATCACTCTGCACAAGGCCTGGATCTCCTGGTGATCCTTTGAGAGGGTGGAGTTGGGGGCATGATCCCTATTTCTGTAATGCCTTTCATTCAAAAGATCTCACACCACCCCTGTCGGGTACATAAATAAGATCATACCCATTTTACAGATAAGGAAACCAGGGACCAGAAGGATTAAAACTAGTCACCAAAGGTCACAAAGGGCTTGATTCATTTCCCATTACAATCAATGGAAAAACCCCACTGACATAAATGAGTGATGGGACAGGTCTAAAATCACAGAGTGGCAAAGCCAGGAAAAGAACCCAAATCCCCTACTCTACCCACGCATCATCTGGAAGCTGCATAAGAGTTCTGTGTAACTGACATAAAATCAATTCATGACTGTGACGTAGGACCTCTTGATGCCAAATAGCAGAGCACACAGGGGTGCATGTGAATTATAGCTAAGGCTAAGATTTCGTCATGGTTATTTTTAGTAAAGTCACGGACAGGTCACGGGCAATAAAAAAAATTCACAGAAGCTGTGACCTGTCTGTGACTTTTGCTGCTGTGGCTCCATGTTTTCCCCGTCCGCCCACAGCAGCTGGGAGCTGCAGTGTGACCATATTTCCCAAGAAGAAAATGGGACACCCCCAGCCGCTCGCCCGAGGTGCCTCCGCCCCCGGCGCGGCTGTCACCCATCGCTGCCTGAAATCAAACTGCACCAGAAAGGAAGTGGGAGACACTTACCCTAGCAGACCATTGTATACTGTGTGTCTCACAATGGAAGTCGATTTGCACACTGAGTCAAAGGCTAATGAAGAGATTGTCGGGACTTTACCAGAAGAAATTAACAGGAAGAGGTGAACAGCAGGGGAGAGAGAACACTGTTTACTGGTAAAGAACATAAGACAGGGCTAATATATCTAGGGGTGCAGAAAGCCACCCTGACATTCTTCATGTGGGGGAGACAAGCTGTCAGCAGGCTTGGTCATGAAAAGAAAGTCTCAGCTATCCTGTTTGAAAAACACTGTGAGCAGGATTTTGAGATCAGCAATAGACCTCAATAGACAAAGGGTTATCGTGTTAGTTGAGTTTAAGATCTAGAATGCATGTTATGATTTTGTTTTCTATGAAACCCTTTGTTTCCATTAATCCTACTTGATTCTTCATGAATCTCTATTCTTTGTTAAATAAGCATATTCTTGTTTTCACTATAAACGTATCTAAGTGCTTTGTGTTAAGTGGAGCTGCGTTCTAAGGTGTAACTAGTAAACTGTGGGATTTGGTTACTTTGGGATCTGGTAATTCTGAGAGTGTCCAGTGATTAAGGGGCTGGATGCTGCAGGGAGATGCTTAGAGGACTTTTGTTTGGAGTATGCCTATTGCTAGCCTAAATGATGGACAGGGGAGTCTGTGTGGGCTGAGGGGGAGTACTTGTGTTTCCTGTGTCTGGAAAAATCAGGGAGCTGGCCCTTGGCAGATACAGGCAAGGCTTCCTCATGCTAAGAGCAGGTGGTAGGGAGGTGCCTCACAATGGTGACCCCGAGAAGCGTCACAATGATCCTATGCAGAAATACCTATGTAGGGACCAGAAAACGTCATGAGGGAATTTTTTCTATCATTGAGGGCTGGGAGAAGAGCATTCTTAACATGCCCTTGCAGAAGAAATGTGAAGTATTATTAGGGATGCATTTGCTACTACTTCAGGGTTAAGGTTGCATTCTGAAATTGGCTTAAAAACAGGACAAATTCCTGTTTTTCTCTACATAAAGGTGGCTTTTTGGTCTGAAATTTCAGTCTTTATGCCCTGCTATGCAGTTTTTAATTTCTTTTCATACATTTTTAATATGAATTGTCTGAAATGGGCTGTGTGGCTGAAATTTGTCCATGGTGGTCTCTTTTTGTTATTTTAAAAAGAAAATCTTGTCTATCCAGCCCAAAATTGAATTAACCTTGATTGGATCTGGGGTGATGAGCAGATTTTAACAATATACATATTTAGGGTCATTTTCAGCCATTATTTGTCATAACTGAACAATCTTTTTAAGAACAGGAAATTTACACTTTGCAAAATCACATTTATTACAATACTGTCTATAAATATTTTATGTAATCCTTCAGCATATATTGTCTTCCCATCTATCTCAGGCATTAGATCATTTTTCCCTCCTTCTCTGATGTAACTCCGCTTCTGAAACACCTATTAGTTAGGCAGTCTAAACAGGAAATGTGGCTCCTGCAGAAGACACCAATATCACATGGGTAGGGTTGATTTCCCATGTTTTCCCAATATTCTCCAAACTGCAAAGCTTTCTTTGACTGTGGGTAGGATTCTTAAGGGACCTCAGAATTTTAACTATGTTTTCTCAAATAGAAGAGGCTCTAGAGGGTAAACAGTTACACCAACTATTTACTAATATCTGAAACCTGTACTCAAAGAGGAGATCTGACCTTTTGGTTAAAGACCTTTTGAAAAGGTGAATTCTGCAATTCAGCACTAGTTATTTCTTCATTCATACTACTCAAACAATGCATAACACTCTGTTCATGTGATGTCCCCTCACAGTGTATCCACGGCTTACCAATAAACAGAAGATAAACTCACCTAGGTAACACAGTCGGCTTTTTGGAATAACAAGTCAGTCAATCAGACCCTTCACAACCCCCAGGATTTCTTTCCCATCACAGATAAGAACATAAGAAAGGCTGTACTGGGTCAGACCAAAGGTCCATCTAGCCCAGTA